TTTTTTCATTAATTATTGTGAAAAAATAAAAGATGATTTCAATTTTAACAATTACCTAATTAAAATAGGACTTGTGTTATTAATGTTGAAAACAAAAATACAATTAATATATTTTAAACCAATACACTTTGTAAAGGTAGACAAACCTAGAAATAATTCTATTAGATTTATTACTCATAAAAGTTTCCTACAATTAAAAACTTCAATGCCATAGTGTCTTTTCTTCTTTTGTTTTTTTAAACATGATTACAATCAGGGAGGGGGTAAGCAAATATAGGAAAGAGAATTCGTGAACCTCAAAACTACAATCCACAGAAGTGATCCCACTGACTCAAGATCAATGCCATGGAGCCGGGACATGCAGATCAACGTCATGGTATCTCTTTAAAACTGTATTGTGAGCATAAACAAATAAAATAGTGTATTACAGATTTGAAAACAATGACTTCGCCTTACAAACATTTAAGTATATATTTAACTCCACTTATTATTTCCTAAAGTACCTAAACTAGCATGAGTGCTTCTAGATTTTACTTCCACTTCCACATGTGGTTATCAAGACCCAATACTTCCTCAATAGAGTTTATTCAAATCTTATTTGACAATCAATAATAGTCACGTAGTCACATTAACTAGCACAATTTCTAAGAATAATGCTAATTGAGATAATAAAATGAGACAAAAATAGATGACGAACATGAGTTGATGGCTATTTCAGCAAAGAATCACTTCAAAGAAAATCCCACGTGACAAACAATTAGCAAGCCATGTTATTGGTTTTGTAAAATCGTTCTGCATATTCATCCTCCATATCATCATCCAATTTCTAATGAGAAAATGCATAGCAATTTAGATATAGACAACAAGTAAATAAATGAAAAGAGTTTATTACAATTATTACATATAAGAATCGTGAGATTTTATTATAAAGTACAATTATAGATGAATTGTTTTTCTTTCTAAAGATCTCATTGTGTTTATAACTTTTTCGAAATAATGATGAATCATCATTAACATAAATCATACATATCAAGTGAAATCTTTAAAAAATTATTGTTTACATTAAATTGGGAATTATGTCACCTATGTAAAAAAAATTCACTTAATCATAAATCTTCTAATTTTTACGTGGATCCCTAAACTAAATCACATACAATTTCAATTATTTTTGCTTTAATATGATTTTTTTAAAAAAAAGAAAGTTAAATTATTTTGTAAATTGTCCTCTTAATTTTTTTTGAAGAATCCATTTAAAAATTTATTTTTTAATTAATATTTTTAAAAATTAACCATTA